AGTCATCAAAGTTGACGTATGCGTCCTCATCGACGTCAAACAGCTCGACAATGCGTTCGAGCAGCGGGTTGGTCTGCAGCTCGGGAATGCGCTTGAACTCGTCCACGTTGATCCGTCCGTCATCGTTCCGGTCGAGCTTCTTGAACCGCTTGTGCAGCCGCTTGATCTCTTTCTGCGAGAAGCCCGTCGCCTCCTTCAGCTCGGCCACCTGCTCGGGCGCAATCACAGACGCAGAGCCTCCCATGGTATGTGTGTATGGGAGGGGGGGGGGGGGGGGGGGGGGGATGGAGTGGGGTGGGGTGGGGGTGGGGTGAGGTGTGGGGTGAGGTCTACCCAGGTCGCCGTTGTCGTCGTCCGAGTGGTGGCCGTCGCCTGGTCGTAGCCGTGGCAGAGGTTGGTCCTTTTTCTGCCAATTGGTGGCTGGCGGTGGCCAAGCAGTCCCTCCCTCCCCCCCTCCCCTCAAGGACTCCCAACCTGGTCGAGGTGGCAGTGCCAACCACCACCCACCAAATTGGCCAGCCCGCCGCATGCCGCCGCCACACAGCAAAGTCAGTCACAACATGGCCAATCCCTCTCCCCCCTTTCCCACCTCCAATGTTGCGGACATCTATGCTGGCCTTGGCTACTATTGCCATGGCCGTCGCCCTCTCTGTCCTCGCTCCACTCCTCGCCGCTGCTCCCGTTGTCGTGCCGGCCGACGACGCGCTCCGGTTGGCCCTGGGCGGCATCGACTCGTCCATTGGCGCGCAGCAGGCGTCGAACACGTCGAGCGAGTGTGATGTGTGTCTGGCGCTGGTCGACACCTTTGCCGCTCGCCTGCTGGACAACGCCACCCGTGATGACGCCACTCGCGAGCTCGACGCACTCTGCGGCAAGCTCCTAGGCGAGCTCCACAGACTTTGCGACGATCTGGCTGCCGCCCTCGATGGCGCGATCTGGGGATGGGCCAACGAGGCCTCGTTTGCCACCGTCATCTGCGCAGAAGTCAAGGTCTGCGAGTATGCGTGCTGCCAGCCGGGAGGCCTTCCGGAGCAGGTCCATCTCAGCCTGCAGCCGCTGCACAACGGCAGCGGCGCCATGGGCATCCGCGCCACCTGGGCCACCTTGCCGCCCATCGATGCCGCTGTCATTGCCTGGGGTCTCTCGCCAGCCGATCTCGGCTCCACAGTGTCTGCCACCCGCTACACGCATAGCTCTGGCGGGTGGAAGGGCTGGTTGTACACCGGCGTCATGGCCCATCTCCCGCCCGGGGCTCGGGTGTACTACAAGGTCGGCGCGCCCGGCCGCTTCTCGCCGGTCTTTCACTTTCGGGTGCCGGGCGCGCGCAGCGCGACGGCCCGAGGAATGGCACTGCTGTTTATCGGCGACATGGGCATCCTGCACTCGGCGCCTACCATGGCGGCGCTGGCCGACGAGGTGGCCACCGGTGAGTGGGACGCGTTGCTGTTCAACGGCGACATCAGCTACATGGACGGCTCGCTGCCGCTGCTCGACGAGTATCTGCGGCGCATGGAGCGCGTTTTGGCATATCTGCCGGCGGTGTACTCGCCAGGCAACCACGATTGCCCGTACAAGTTTGAGCCGTACCTCAAAGTCTTTCCCTTTGACGGGCCCGGCGAGCCGCCGCTTTACTACTCGCTCGATCTTGGTTTCCTGCACATCACCGTTCTCGCCACCGACTACCCGAACAACGACCCGATCTGGCCCGACGGCACCTTTGGCTTTGCGCCCGGTACGCCGCAGCACGCATGGATTGAGGCCGACCTGGCCTCACCGGCTGCGGCCGCCGCCGCCTGGCGCTTCACCCTCGGCCATCGGCCGTTCCTCTGCTCGTCGACCTCCAACGGCGACTGGGCCGACTGCTTTGGCCACGCCCCGCTCTACCGCGAGTGGCTTGAGCCCGCCATGCACGCCGCGGGTGTCGATCTCGCTCTCCAGTCGCACCAGCACGCTTACGAGCGGTCGTATCCGTCGCTCGACGGCAAGCTTGTCTCGACCTCGTACGCCTCGCCCAACGCCACCGTGTACATTGTCAACGGAGCGGCCGGCAACATCGAGGGCCACGCCCCGACCTTTGTCTCACCGCCACTTCCCTTTTCCGCCGCGCGCAACGGCACCGTCTACGGCTACGCTCGGATGTGGCTTTCGGCGCCCGACGCGAGCCCGGCCTCGCTCCGCTTCGAGTTTGTCGCCGCCGACTCGCGCGCCGTCATCGACTCGTTTGTCCTCACCAAGCTGCCGAGTGAATGAGGACAACCGGTTGGCCTGCTTTCATTTCGCGTCCGCTCAGGCGAGATACACGTAGGTGGTGCGATCGGCTTCGTCGCGGGCAAGGTAGGCGCGGTCGATGAGCGACTCGACGCGCTTCTTAAAGTCGCCCGAGGAGACGTCAAAGCGGAGCTGCTTGAGAACCTCAACGTTGAGTAGCGGGTGGGTGAGGCGTTTGCGCGACTTCATGACGCGGACAATGGCTGCGTCGATGAGGTACTGGCGGTCCTGGAAGACGCGGGCCTTGGTCGACGCGGCCTCGGCCTTGGTCTCGCGGATCTGGATCTGGTTGATCTTGATCTTGAACAGCGGGTTGGCAAAGGCGGCGTTGAAGGAGAAGACGTCGTCGCGGCCGATAGACTTGCCCTTGGGGCTCTTGAGCAGGACGCGGGTCTTGGGCTTGCCTGCACACAGTGAGAGCAACGTTCGCACCAGTTCCTTGTCGTCCAGTTGGGTCGCCTTCTTGATGTCGGCAAAAGGCAGCGAGTCGCTGTCGTTGAACAGCAGCAGGACAAGGGCCTGGAAGAGCGAGACGGCCAGCACCTTTTGCCGGCCGACGGAAAGACGGCGCCGAGCGAGACCGTCGCCAGCGAGTGCTGCCACTTGAGCTTGCGGCCCGAGTGCTTGGTCTTGTAAAAGGCCTCAAAGTCGTCGACGTGGCCAGCCATATCCGGCGGGAGAAGGACCGTGTGCTCGGGGTACGTCGGCCAGAAGCCCATGGTGAGGACGTGCGCAAACATAGCAACCGACGCCGCGCTCCCGCCCTCGCTCCACGACGCGTTGAGCTCGCGCGAGAGCTCGATGTCCTTCATCATGCCCTCGAGCTTGTTGGCAAAGGTCGAGCCGCACTCGTCGCGCAGCCGCGCCACCATGGCCTTTTCGGCGTCGGCCGACGCAGACTTGCCCAGCAGCAGGCGCTTGGCCAGGTCCTTCTTGTAAAACGCCTCGAACACATCCTTGCCCGAGACAAATCGGAAAAGCGCGAGGCCAGCATCGAGCTTGCCCAGCAACACGTCTTCGTCCGAGCCCTTGCCCGCCGACGACTTGAGCAGCTTGTCCATGTACTTTGCAATGAGCTCCGCCGGGCGGTTCTGCCGCACATTGATGAACTTTTCAAACGCATCCTTGAGCGCGTAACCGATGTCGGGGTTGTTCTGAAACGGCCCCTCGACGACCGCAAGCACCCGCGTGTGCAGCTCGATGAGCGCATCGACCATGCCCTTGTCCTTGGCCGGATCCGACACAATCGCCGTCCCGGTACTCTCGACATACCCGCGGATCGCGGTGCAGAGCGCAGGCAGTGCGCTCACCCGCCCCAGCAGGCCGTACAGAGTCGCCAGTGGCTCATGCATGCTCGCGTTGAGCAGCTCGCTCAGCCCACCCTGCTCCAGCACAACCTCCACGTTGGCTCGGATCAGATGCTCGTCCACAAGCGCCAGCACACGCTCTCCAGACAACGCCACCGTCCCGTACCGCGTCAGCCGCTCACTCTCCTCAGTAATACGCGCCTGCACATGCGCCAGATAGCTCGGCAGGCCAAGCTGCGCCAGCTTGACCCCGCCCTCCTGCGCGTAGAACGCCGCCGTCGCGTCGACAAACTTGGCCTCAACGTGATCCTCGTACAGCTGCAGCGCCACCAGCATCTGCACCAGCCGCACCACAATCTCGCTGTCGACAGCATGCCCCGACCGCTCCGCCGTGATGCCGTCGACCAGGGCTCCGACCACCCCAGACAGCAGCGCCGGGTGGGCGGCAAGAACGTGCTTGCGGATGAGCGCCAGGCCTGATGCCCACAGCGACGTCAGCCGCGGCGTCGCAATGACATACGATCGGTCCAGCACCAGGAAGACCTGCCGCACAAGCAGCAGATGCTCCGCAGCCTGTGTATACACCCCGTCCATGGCCGACAGCAGCCGCGGGCCGTCCAGCTCGCGCGCTCGCGCGGCAAGCTCGGCGCCCATCCGCACGTGGATTGACTCCAGCTCCGCCATCAGCTTGGTGTGCAGCTCCGCGGCATGCTTGTACGAGCACAGATTGTCCACAAGCGAGTACAGCTCCTCCAACGACGACCCGCCAGCGCCCGAGTTGCCGTAGATAGACGCTACCGCCGTCCGGAGCTTGTTCCACGACTCGTCAAAGTAGTTGGCCGGCAGCGTCGGCTTGACTATCCCACCGCCCGTGCCACACGCCCCGCACCCAGGCAAACACGCCACAGGTCCTCCTCTCCCATGAGTCCTCCCCTCTCGCTCTCACAGCAGGCCACACACACGCTGCCGCCGCCGAGCTCGCGAAAAACACCGTCACCGCGGCCGCGATCATGATCACCGCCGCCGCAGTCGGCAAGCATTCTACGACCTTTTCCCTCTTCCCCTTCCCGCATGGCTACGTACCCTTGAACGGCTTGATGGTGATCTTGGTGCGGGCCTTGGGCCGCCTGCCCAGGTTGGCACCCTTGCGAATCATGAGGGAGAGGTGAGGGACGGTGTGCAGAGGTGGTGGGTGGGGTTCGGGTGGGGCGGGGTGGGGTGGGGTGGGGTGGGCGGCCAAGTCGATTGTCGAATCGCTGTCGCTCAGTGGGCAGCCGAGCCGGCACGGCGCGACTACGAGTCGCGCGAGATCGGGTCGGCCTTGCGCGATCGAAAATCCAAGGACAGCACTGCGCTCTTTGGCGGTCTACTGCGGTCGGTGAAGGGCGTGTGTTATGACAGCAGCTATGGTCAGAGTGTGTCGGGTCGCGACTGGATGGCCTCGCGAATTCGCTGGAGCTCGGTAAAGACGACAGCCATGCGCGGACGCGACGCCGGATCCGGGTGCCAGCAGAGGGCGATGAGGTCAGCAAGGCCCGGCGGCCAGTAGGCCGAGGCCTGCGGGTCGAGGGGCGGACGGGCGCCCGAGACGATGAGCTCAATAGCGTCGATGGGAGCGAGGCCCTCAAACGGGATGTGCCGTGTGGCGAGCTCCCACAGCACGACACCAAAGCCGTAGACGTCGACAGCCTCGGTGTAGGGCGTGCCTGCCTCAAATAGCTCGGGCGCCATCCACTGGAACGAGCCGATGCGCCGCCCTGTGAGGACGGCGTGGCGGGTCTTGACTCGCGCCAGGCCAAAGTCGGCGACTTTGATGCACCACTTGTCGGTGACGAGAAGGTTGAGCGACTTGACGTCGCGGTGGATGATCCGCGGCGAGGCATGGTCGTGGAGGTAGAGGATGCCGGCAGCGGCGCCAGCGGCAAACAACAGGCGGTAGCCCCACGAGAGCGATATCGGCTGCTCGTGGAGCACGTCCCAGAGCGAGCCGCGGCCGCAAAACTCGGTGACCAGAACCAGCCGCTCGGCGCACGCGCCCACAAACCGCACCACATTGGGGTGCTGCGCCTGCGAGAGCAGCCAGACTTCGTCCTCAAACTCGGCCGCAGCATGCGGATCCGAAGCCAGCGATGCGTCGAGCGTCTTGATGGCTACTGCCATGCCACGCCACACCCCGCGCTCGACGAGACCAAACCCGCCGCGGCCCACCGGGACTCGCATCGTCACGGAGCTGACGTCAAAGCCGAGATGCGCGGGCGCCGGCCCAGTCCGTGACGCCCGCAAAGCCGCGTGGAACTCGCGCATCTCACCCACACAGTATGCTGTCGCCTCGCTCGAGCCGACCGGGTATATCGAGGCAACGTCGACAAGGACGTCAACAACGACGTCGCCGCCTGGAAGCGACGCCACGTTCCAACATTGCTCGCCGACACCGCGGAGGAGGGCACACGGCACGCCTGCAAAGTCGGCCAGCACCTTGAACAGCAGAGTCCGCGCACGCATCCCGCCGGTCTTCAGTGAGCCAAGCAGGACCTGGCCGCAGAGGCCAGCGCCAGGCGTCTGGGCTCCGGAGAGCTCGGCTCCGCCGAGTGCGTCCGACGCCATCAGCGCTAGCCGGCGCACGGTCTCGCGGGCAACCTTGCGCAGTGCGACCGCCGACGACGCCGAGACTGATGCATGGTGCGCGCGCTTGGCGGCACGCCCGAGTGCCAGCAGCTCCTTGTCGCTCGCAAGATCCACCACCAGTGCGTACTCGGCGCTTGCTGGGTTTGCGTCAGCAAAGACCGCGCCGCCTCGCGCAAGCTCGGCCAAGCAAGTACTGCAAGGCAGCTCGCCGGTCGCCCAGTACGACTCGGCGTCAGGGAGCAGGCCCGCGCTCGTTGATGAAGCCCCTGCACTCGCCGCAATCTGCAGCTGCGTCACAAGCGCGACAGCAACCTCCTCGCTCACCGCCACCGACAGCACCACCGTAGACGGCGACGCAAACAGCAGCTGGCGCCCGTTCCAAACGCCAGCATCAGTGACCAAAAGTGAGGTGCCAAACTTGGCAGCAATGCTCAGGACCCGGACGCCGTCGAGCGCCGCCGGCGCATACAAGGCTGGCGATGTCGGTGCGGCCACGCCGTCGAGGCCCGAGCCCGTGCCCCAGACAAAGACGCGTCCGTCGACCGTGAGCGCGAGCGCGTGGCCGTCACCGGCAGCAATGTCGACAAGCTCGGTGCGATCGCCGGCGGTGGACGCAAAGGCGGTTGCCGGGACCTGGATCGGCACATCTGCGCGGCGATGGGTGCCGAGACCGAGCTGGCCCGAGTAGCCGGTGCCAGCCACCCAGAGTGAGCCGTCACTGCTGAGAAACATTGCGTGCGTCCGCCCAAAGCAGAGCTTGACAACCTTGACGCTCTCGAGACCCGGTGGCGTCGTCGGCGCGCCCACGGCGGTCGGCACGTCGGCGCCAAGCCCAAGCTGGCCGTAGCGATTGTCGCCCCACACCAGGGCAGTGCCCGAGCTAGTGAGCGCGCCCGAGCACCCACCGGCGGCGGCAACAGCAGCAATGTCAGCGGTAGGCGCAGCGACAGGCGTTGGCTTGCGGGCCAGCTTGTTGGAGCCGGTGCCAAGACGACCATCAGCGCCGTGGCCGACAGCGAGCGCCCGGCCGCGCGAGGTGAGAAGCATCGTGTGCGCGTCACCGGCATCGGCGGCAACAATGACTTCGCCATCATCCAGCGCGCCTGCAGTCTCTAGCGGGAGCGGCGCTTCAGCAAAGTCGGTGCGCGGACCAGCGATACATGCCTGCCCGTAGCTGTTTGAGCCCCAGCCCCAGCCCGTCTCGGTCCCGGTGAGCACAACAGTGTGACCCTGGCCGGCAGCCAGCCAAGACGGGTGCTGGGCGGCGGCGCCCGGCAGATGGATGCGGCTCGGCTTGGGCGAGTTACCGCTGCTGTGACCGCCCAGCCGCCAGCTGTACACATCGACCGCGGTGTGTGCGGCTGAGCTCGATGATGCATCTGCGCTACCTGCAGGCTCGAGCGCAAGGGTGGGGAGGACGGCGAAGCGGTCCTTGCGAGCCTTGCGCCGTGAGGTGAGCGTTGTCTCCTTGGACTGCGGTAGCGCTGCTTGCTCGACTTGGCGGTTTGCCTGCATGTCGGCAAAGCTTGGTCTGACCGGCGAGGTCGAGAGGACCGGCGGCGCGACGGGACCAAGGTCCTGTGGTATGTCGTAGTGCGGCGACTTGGGCTGGCGCTGGATCGGCTGCGGCTGGCTCCCGCCTGCTCCTGGAAAGTGGAGCACGCCGCCGACAACCGGGATCGAGCCGGGCGCGGCCGACGGTGTGTATCGCTGGTACGCGTCGTATGCCGAGACGCCGGGCGCAGGCAAAGGCACCATAGAGCTGGCAGAAATGTCATGCTCGTAGCCGTCGCCGCTGGCTGATTGGCCGGCCACCACCGGCGGCGAGCTGAATGCGCCCGGCGGTGACCACGAGCCGTACTCGGGCGGCGGCGAGATGCGCGAGAGCGGCGGAAGCTTGGCATAGCCCGATGCTTCTGCAGCAGTTGCAAGCGGCGATGGCTGGGGCGGAGCGAGCGAGGCATTAGGTGTACGCCGCGGCTCCGGGGGGTGGCAAACGGTGACGGTTCGGAGTTGTTCGCCGGGGCAACAAACGGTGAGACAGAGCGCCGGCGCGGCGGCGGATCTGAGGAAGCGACCGGTGCTGTGCTACCCGGTGCCCACCCGGTGTATCCATCGGTCGGGCTAGTGGATGGGGGCACGGGTTGGGCCGGCGGCGATGGCGAGGTAGTGGGTGGTGTTGGCGGCGCCCACGAGCTGGTGCTCGGACTGCGGACCGGCTCCACAGTAGAGCGCGATGCAGGCGAGCTTTGTGTCGGCAGTGAGCTGAAGGCCTCGTCGAGCGATGAGTGGTAAACGACGCTGGGAGGAACGGGCGGCGGTGGCGAAGCGGGCAGAGAGCGGTAGATGTCGACAAAGGGTGAGCCGGGAGCCGGGTGGAGCTCCAGCGGGGCAGCCATGGCGGCAAGGCCCTTTCTGACAAACTCGATGAGGGTGGCGTAAACAATCGGGGAGTTTGTGGCCGGGTCGACCGAGACAATGCCGACACCGGGGACGGCGCGGATGCCCTTCCAGTGGCGGACGTTGCGATCTGCGCCGACGACGGTCACCGCCAGGCCGCCATGGTAGGCATCCGATTGTGAGAAACGAACAAGAAAGGTACCAGGCTGGCTGGCAGCCACGAGGCCAAGGGCTTCTGGCCCCGGCAGGTGGCCAAAGAAGAAGGAGGCGCCGTAGTCATCGGTGAGCAGGCCGCGGAGCGAGGCGATGAGCTTGGGAAAGGGACCGAACCAACGGAGGAGACAGGCAAAGTCGTTAATCGAAGTCGAGCCCGAGCCATGCGGGTCAAGAATGAGACCCAGCGCCCGCTTGTCCCCGCTCGTCATCTCGGTCTCGAGCGAGACGGCGAGGGCGGCAAAGAGGCCACCGAGCTCGACACTCGCGTGCGTCTTCACCCCGGGGAAGTACGTGGTCCAGAACGTGGCACCGAGCTCGTCAAAGCTGAGCACCGTCATCGACGCCTGGTCCAATGGCGAGTAGAAGCCTGCCATGGTCGCGGCGTGTGGAGGGTGGGTGGAGGGTGGGTGGAGGGGGGGGAAGTGGGGGGGAGTGGGGGGGGGGGAGTGGGGTGCGCGTGCTGTGCGACTCGGCAGGGGCATTAGGTCAGCAGCGGAGGGAGGGGGTGGGGGGGGGAGGGGGCACGACAACGGGTCGGGGGTCGACCCAAATACAAGAAGCTGGGAAGGGCAGGGAAAGGGGTGTGCAGGGTGGTGTGCAGAGAGGGGAAGGGAAGGATGTATTCACGAGCCCATCTCGCGAGCCAGGTTGTAGCCAGCGGTCTTCTCCCAGTCCATGAGGTGGCGGGTGACCGGGAGCTTGCGGCGGAGGCCCTTGAAGGTGCGCTCCGACATGACAGCGTAGGACTCGCCGACGGCGCTCTGGTAGGACGACTCCTCACGGGCGATCTCGGCGGCAGCGGCCTCGGCAATCTCCTCCGGAGTGGCGGCGGTGACCTCGGTCGAGGTGGTGAACTCCGAGTTGAGCTGAACGTTGCCGTCCTCGTAGTAGTGGACAAGCAGGTTGAACTTACCCTCAAAGGTCACGTCCTCGCCGTTGATGGTGACGGTCCAGACCGAGCGCCAGCGGCCGTTCCAGAAGTTGCCGGGCGAGAACTTGGCGGCCGAGATGCAGATGACGAGGCCGGTCTCGGTGGCGTAGGTGGCGACCTGTCCGTTGGGGTAGAACTCGGCGACGTAGGCAACCATGGCGGCGTCGACGGCGGCGCGGGTGTCCTCGTTGGCGCCAGGCGCAGGCGCAGGCGCGGTCCCGGTCACCTCGAGCTTAGCGTGGTCGACCGTCACGACCTGGGCCGACCGCGGATCAAGATACTCGGACGGGCTGATCTCACCGTACTTGGTCAGCAGCACCTACACAGCCATCCACGACATCTCCTTGTGAGTCATTGCTTGCCGGCTTCTCATCCGCCCTCACGCACGCCTACTCGACCGCATGCGTCTTTGCCGCCCTTTGGCTGTTCTTCCGAATTTGCCCCCACCACCCACCACCCGCCCACCACGGACAGCCTAGCGCTAGCGAAGGGGAGGAGCACGCGTGGAGTCGGTGAAGCGGGAATGTACACCTTGCTGTGTAAACATACTGGCGGGTGGATGGGGAGGGGGGGGGGGGGAGTGGAAGGCAGACTAGCTCACAGCATGCGGGGTTGCCTTCAGAGGGGGAGGGGGGGGCGCGGGCATAGGAACCGAGGTGGCGGTGGCCGATGCAACGGTGGCGGCCCAAAAAAATTCGACCTGTGGACATGGCCAGAGGGGGCGGGGACAGGCAAGGGGATGGGGCTGTGGAAGGACAAGGGAGAGGGAAGGGGGAGGGAGGAGAAGGGGGAGGGAGGGAGGGGGGGGGGAGGGAGGGAGAGGGAAGGGGGAAGGGGAAGGGCTTGCTGTGTGGCAGACGGTGGAAGGAACATGGCAGACGGCAATGGTGAACAGGGGAGGGGGTGAACATGATTAATCGAATGAGAGGCAATGATTATGCGTACCTTGTGGTCGGCGTCAGGCAGGTCGACGGCAACCATGTGGCTGGTGTTGTATGCCTGAGCGGTAGCGGCGAACTTCTGGTTGAGAAGATCGTCGTTGCCCAGGAGGGTGCGGACGTCAGTGACCACCTCGTTGAACTCGCCAGGAGGTGCGTCCAGGAGAAAGCCCGTAACAATCTCGAGCTTCTCCTCGTCCGGAATGTCGTACTCGTCACCCATTGTGTGCAGTCAAGTGGTGACAATTGAGTCAGTCTCGAATGATTTGGGCTCGGAAAGAGGTAAGCTAGCGGTGACAACCGGATGCCGCTGGGCGAGACCACCTTATCCTCGCACCGTTCTCCGGCATCGGTACATCGATTGTGATCGGTTGTTGTTGGCTTTGGTCAAGTCGAGGGTACAGATTATTATTTGGATACGTGACGAGGTGGGGGTGAGGCGAGGCGAGGCGAGGTGAGTGAGGCTCAGGTTCGCGCCGAGCGGCGGGTGCGGCGCGGCCGCGGTGAGTTGGTGTCGGCAGGCGCGAGAGCCTTGCGAGCAACAGCGTCGTCCGCGTCCGACTCGGCGTTAGCGTCGGTAGAGAGCTCAGCATCAGCATCGGCATCGGCATCGACATCGGCATCGGTCGCGAGCTTGGCGGCGGGCGTGGCGGGCGGGTTCTCCTTGTCAGCGACGGTGGGGTCCTGGGCAGTGGCGGGCGAGGCCGGAGCGGACGCAGGCGCAAGCGAGGCGACCGGGGTATGAGCCGGGACCGGGGCGGACGGTGACGCGGCGAGGTCGGAGTGAGCCGGGGTACGGCGCGGCATCGGAGTCATCGGCGAGCCGATGGCCCAGTTGGCCATGTCAGCCTTGGCTGGAGTCGCGCCGGTGGGAGCGAGCGGGTTGTAGGCAAAGTCGGCGATGGCGGTGGCGAGGTCATCGGCGTGGCTCACGGTGGCGGCCACGGCATCCTCGGCTGCAGCCTGGGCGGGCTCGACCGAGAGCTCATTCCACATCTTGTCCTGGTGGTCGACAGCGGTGTCGAGGTCGGCGCGGGCCGCAGCCAGCGCGTCGGTTGCGGTAGCCGCGGTGGACTCGACCGCAGCCACGACGTCGTCAAGGCACGGAGTGGCGGCGGTGATGGCGGTGGCGACATCGGAGGCGCCCGCTTCGAGCGAAGCGCGCAGCCTGTCGAGGTCGGTGGCCATATCGGCGGTGGCGGTCTCGAGGCCTGCGGTCGAAGCGGCGGCGGCGTCTGCGGCAGCATCTGCAGCGGCATCCGAGGCGGCGGTGGCAGCGTCGCCAACCATGCCGGCAGTGACGTTGTGCGAGAGGTCTGCGGCAAGGTCCGAGACGACAGCAATGTCCGCAGTCAGGGTCTCGCGGGTCTCGACGATGGCCGAGGCGGTGTCGGCGTGGGTGGCACGCAGCGCGGTGGTCTTGGACGCAAGGTCAGCAGCCAGCGAGGAAGCGGCAGCGTTGAGGACCGAAGTGAACGAGGCAAGCGCGTCCTTGGTCTGGGCCTCGATCTGGCTCTGGAGGTGGGACTGCAGATCGTCGAGCGCGGCGTCCTGCGAGGCGACGCGGCCAGTGAGGGAGTCAATGGACGAGGTGACGGATGCAGAGAGGCTGGTGAGCGAGGACTCGAGCGAGGACTCGAACGAAGTAAGAGCTGACGAGACCGAGGCAATGAGGTTGGCATGAAGCGAGGCCATGGCCGACTGCGAGGCGGACTGTGCAGCGAGGAGCGCCGCCATCGTCTCCTGGTTGGACTCGAGTCGTGCGGTGACGGTGTCAAGGGCGTCAGTGGCGGCGGTGTGTGCGTCAGTGGCCGAGCCGGAGGCCGAGTCTACAGCAGCAGTGATGGAGGCCTGCTGTGCGGCGACAATGGCGAGCGAGTCTGCGGTCGACGAGGCAAGAGTAGACGCGATGGCCGCGAGCGAGGAGGAGGCAGTCGCGTGCGAGGCGGTAGATGCGTCGCGGACGGCAGCGATAGACGAGGCGAGAGCGTCAAAGCGCGAGGTCGAGTCGGCCTTGACCGAGGCGAGGACGGCAGCAAAGTCGGAGGAGGCCGTTGCGGCGGAGGATTGAAACGAGGCGAGAGCAGCAGCGTTGGCGGTGGCCGAGGCGGCAAAGGCTTCGATCTTGGTGTGGGTGCCTGCGAGGTCACCGAGCGAGCCGGTGAGAGTGGTGCGGAGCGCCTCGCCACGCGAGACGAGGTGATTGCCGTGGGTGGCAAGTGTGGCCGACCACTGAGTCTCATCGTCGAGCTTGGCGGTGGTAGCGGAGAGGTCGGCAGCGGTGGCGGCAAGCTCGGACTGCGTCGACGCTAGGTCGGCGAGGGTGGCGGCGAGCGAAGCCTCGAGCGAGGCAACCTTGGCGGAGGTGGTAGCGAGCGAGCCCTCCAGCTCGGTGATCTTGGCCGATCCATCCTCAACGGCCTGGGTGGCGGTGGCAAGCTCCTCCTCGAGCTCCTCAATGCGCGAGTTGAGGGCCTCGTACTGGTCGAGCGGGAGGTAGACGCCTGAGGCCTCGCGAGCAGCCTGGAGCTGGTTCTTAAGCGACTCGATCTCCTTGATGTACTGTGTGAGGACGACGCGCTTGGTCATGCGCTGGTTGGCGACGGGGGTGTTGACGATGGTCTTTGCGCGCGAAGCGTAGTCGAGGGTGGAGAGCGTCTCTTCAAAGTTGAGCTCGGACGGCGAGACGGTGGCGATGACGCAGGTCTTGGTCGTTCCGCCGAGTGAGTCCTGCAGGATGCGGGTGAGCTTGGACTCGCGATAGGGGATGTGCGGGCGGCGCTCGATGAGGGCATTAATGACGCGGCCGAGGGTGAGGAGCGACTGGTTGATGAGACCAGCCTCGCGAGCGCGCTTGGACTGGGCGCCGGAGCGGGCAATGTTCTCGGAACCGGCGAGATCGACGAGGTTGAGCTTGCCGACCTTGAGCAGGTCCTCGCCCTCTGCGTTGGACTCCTTGATGTGGAGGGTGATGGAGAAGATAGCGTGCGAGCGTGACGATGAGGCGTTCATCTTGGTGGCGGCGACCTGGCGCTTGGCCTGGCCGCGGGCGAGGATAGGATAGATGTCGGCGGCCGAAGTGACAGGCACCTCCTCCAGATTATGGACGGTCATCGAGCCGGGCGTCGATGCCTTGGGGTCCTCGAAGATGCGCAGAGGCGGCGGCGGGACGGTCATGCCGAGCAGGTCGTGGAGCTCCTCATTGTAGATCTCGAGGTATGAGACACGGACCGAGTACTCGGTGTTGGACGACTCAAGGACGTCAAAGATGGACGAGATGGTCCGCGGGATGATGCCGGCCTGGGCGCAGCCCTCGAACGAGCCAGACTCGGGGTCGCGGCGGCCCTCCATGGTGAACGTCTTGCCGGTTCCGGTCTGGCCGTAGGCAAAGATGGTGCAGTTGTAGCCGCAGAGCGCCTGCTCAACCGACGGGGCAACAACGGCCTCGTAGACGGCGGCCTGGTCGGTCTCCGGATCGAACACGTGGTCAAAGGTGTACTGCTTCGAGCCCTTGGTCTTGGACTGACGGAGGAGGAGCGAGTTGGGCGAGGTAAACTTGAGGATCGGTGTGTCCGACTTGGTCAGCTCGTCCTGCGAGAACGGCCGGCAACGGACGGCGACCTGGATGTTGGCCCGCGCCGCGTTGCTGCTCGCGCCGCTGTCGCGCGCCGGCGCCGTCCGCGGGCGGCCTGACGACGTCTTGGGCCGACGCCGCCGGGGCGCCGCCGACGATGACGTCGTCGACCGCACCGACGCCGCCGACGCCGTTGACGTCGTCGAGTCGTTCAGCACGGCGTTCCCAGCAGTCTCCGCCGTCTTAGCCTTGGCCTTGGTCGTCGTCGCCGAGGGAAGTCGAAGGCGGGTCATGGCGCGCAAAGTATCAAAAGTTTGAATAAAATTTGGCGACGGGTGTGCTAAACGAACAACAACAAGTTGCCGCTGGTGTGTCTTGGAGCATACGGTCGTGGATGGGCAGGGGTGAGGATGGGAGATGAGGAATGAAGGGGAGGGGGGAAGTTTGAGGTTGAAGTGGCTGTGATCACCGGGGCCGGCGGGAGGAAGGGAAGGGGAGCATGAGAGCGGGTGGGGACAGGAGGCTGGATATGGCCAGAGTGGAAGATCGGGGAAAGATGAAGATCATGTTCCATGGGACGTCTACTGTTGATCTGTGCATGTGGAGTTGAGAGCAAACCGGGGATGGGGGAGGTGGGAGGGGCGAGTGGTTGGATTGTTGTGGCAAGGAAGGAAGCAACGGTTCTTTATCAGGTTATAAGTGTGGTGGTAGTGTTGATAAGGAGGGGGAAGGGAGGGAGGGTCGTAAGCGGAGCAAAAAAATCGTCGTCGACGACGTGATTCGAACACGCGCGTGCAGAGCACAACCAATTAGCAGTCGATCGCCTTAACCACTCGGCCACGTCGACTAACGTTACTGCGAGTTGGGAAATTCGCATAGGTATTTGAAAAGTTCATTGCAGGCGCCAGTGCCCCGCAGCCGCCGGCCGAATGTGGTTGCCGCATCCTTGGCCGGTGGGCGCGTCGAGGTTGGGGAACGCCGCCGTCAGCCGCCGGAGGCCGTCGAGGGTGAGCCTGGTAAGCCCACGGAGCCCAATGTACTCGAGGTTCGGCACATGGGCGATGAGCGCGTCAAGCGCGGCGTCGGTCAGTCGCGTTGCGTGCGAGACGTCGACGATGCGCAGCGATGCGCCGTGGCTCGCCACCAGGGCGCAGAACGCTTTGTCGTCGAGTCGGCTCACCCACTCGGCGTTCAGCCACTCGAGAGTGTTCGGCTCGAGCGCTGCAAACACTGCCGCCAGGTCATCTGGGTACAGCCACCGCCCGCCTCGGATCGACATACCGCGAACCACCCGAAATTGTTGTGCAAGCTCAAGCAGAAGTTCACCGGTGAGTGCCGCGCCGGTGAAATCGAGGACGAGCCGATCGAGCGGCTGCGGCAGGCGCTCACCAGTTGGGACGCAAGCGTTTGCGCAGTGTGCGGATGTGGCATGTGCGGGCGTGGCACGGTCGGTTGCGGGACAGGTAAGCGGTATATTGGTTGGAGTGAGGCCATTGCAAAACTCATCCGCAGTGGGTAGGCAAGCGTATGCCAGGTCAACGACAGTGGCAGCCAGACACTGGGTGAGAAGGATGAGCACGAGTTCGCTGGGAGCCCGGATTTCCGGCTGGCCGAGCAGGAGAGCGTCGATTTCGGCGGCGGCTCCACCTGCCAGGAGGAGGCGGACAAGGGTGCGGCCTGGCAGAGAGTCGGCACGCGCGCTCGACCCGTACACCCGTTTGTTTGTCCAGCTGGTCAAGAGCATGGCCCTCAAGGTCGGCGACAATCCGCGGAGCGCCTCCTGCTGGTGCGTGGCAATGTAGCATGCGGTTTCGAGTTGTGCACATGCCCGCAGGGCAAGGCCGTGTAACGGAAGTGGCTCAGCCATGAGTGTGGCGAGCTGGCTTTGCCGTTGAACTCGTTGACTGTGCGCCTGCTATCCGGCTGAACCTGACCCATCTTTCGGGGCGAAAACGTTTGGGCGGCCAATTTTGAGGATTAGAGTGACCAGACGAGGGACAAAAGGTGTGTAAGCCGATGATAGAGGGAACAGCCGCACCAAGGGCACGGAACCGTGGGGTACGACGCACACTTGACGCTCTCACCATTGAGGCACTTGTGTAACACCCACGTCCTGTACCCTCCCCCCTCCTGTTCTTAACATGCCGATCAATCTCCCTGTTCTCGATGTGGCACGCACGAGCTCCCGTGCATCGACGGCACGAGCTGCTATCAATTGCAACTCACTTTCGGTCACGTCGGCTTCGATTGGCCCGTTCACGGCCATGCTGGTCGCCCGCGTCGGTCTTCACTCGGACATTGTCACCATCGCCGACGAATACCTTGCCCGCCTCGATGCCCAGTTGCGCAAGAGCCAGCAAATGAGCAACCTGGCCCTTCTGGGGACCGGCCATCGGCTGGTCGTCGTGTCGCTCCTCCTCGCCGCAAAGTACTCGCTCGACGTACCGCCCAACAACGCGTATTGGGCCGCACTGACAGGAATCACGCTCAAGGAGCTTGGCGCCCTCGAGCTGGAGGTCCTCCAGCGCCTCAACTATAATCTCTACGTCGATCTGAGTGCCATCACCACCCGATCCCTGCCCTTGGTCTTCCACCCGAACCCGATCCCCATCTCGCCCGCCCCGCCTGCCCTCTCGCCGGTCTTCTCGCTCTCGCTCGGCTCGCCCGAGCCCGATCTCGACCCAGCGCTTCTCATCGATGCGCGCTCACGACTGCCGTCCGCAGTCGTGCCGCTCTCGCGCAAGCGCCGTGCACATTTGCCCTCGAACTCGCTGCCGTGGTTCCCCGACGCTCCCGCGAGCTCATCGCCTCGACCGATGAAGCGACAAAGGCCGCTCTCGCGCACATAGCGCACGTTTGCTGTGATCGAGATCGCACTGTTCCATTGCTACATCTCCTAGCATCGCTCGCACGACTCTCGCACAACAGAGTCGCGATACCACTCTGGCCGCAACCACAACTCTCTTCCTGTGCTTGCCTCTCCTTCCTGATGAATACATCATCCCTAATCTTGACCTGCTTCTTACTCTGTCTGCCACTCTCCCAGTCATCGTCCCTGTCCACTGACGGCTGCGCGTCAGCTCAACCACAACACGTCGTATTCCACTCCCCCGCCCCCTCCCCCCCCTTCAACCCCACTCCTCTGCACCCTCCCATCTCTGCCACCATGCCGCTGACCATGACTCAGCGCCGGGCGGTACAGACCGCGCTGCTCGTGGCCTTTACCGGCGCCCTTGCCCTCCGGCTCCGCTCGGTCAATGCACGCGCCGCCGACGCCCAGGCCGCCGCCGCCGCCGCCAAGGCCGCCTCCACCGCCGATCTCGATGCCCTCGCCGCCCGCCGCGCGACTGCCCTCGCCACTCTCGATACTCGTCATGGCGACAAGCCCAGCTGAGGCCTTTGTACTCTCGCCCAACCGTGACTGCTGTGGGCCCTAGCGACGCTGAGTCCCCCCCC